CAGAATCAAAATGAACTCTATAATATCCATGCAAAGAGAAGGAATTTAAACATATCACAAACCTCCTCCATGTATTCTGGTTCAGAGGCAGATGCATCCCAGCGGTTATTTAAAATAAATATATTGGGTCGAGACAGACGTTCATTCACCTTGTGAAAGAACTGTTTCTCCTAAGCAAAACAGAACAAAACCTCTTAAGATTAATATGTCAAAATTTTTCAACTCTTAGCCAAATTCACTGAACAAGTGGACTTGAACATACAGTTTGCATCAATGTCGATTCAGAATTTGCCACCAGGACAAATACGTCAGCATCTAGACAGAATTTGTCAATCCAACTGTCCAGCTCTGTGGTTACATCAATGCCAGGGCTAGCAATAAAAAGAGAAGAGAGATTACTATGCTGTGGAAACAGCAAAAATAGAATTTGAAGTTAAAAAGACATGTGTTTCAGCTTTTCAGGGCATTAATTTCCCATGCCTGAGCTACACTGTCCTGAGATGACACAGAGCACAGACTAAAAGGAAGCACCAATCAAGAGAAACTGTGACTGCTAACTACAGCAAAGGACTTTAGTCACTGTCATAGGTAAGAACAAGGTCCATTTCCTTGATGTTTGTTAAATTTGTATTTGAAGACATTTCTGTAATTAATCTGTGATAAGCAGGAAAGGAAAGGAAGGTATTTCTCACCTGTCCATCAGCACCAGGTCATCCTTTAAGAGAGGACATTTGGAATTGGGCCACATTACGCTGACTAGGCTGCCAGCATTCAGAAGTTCATCTTGATGAAGGGCATGAGCCAGCTGGTTTACTGTCTATTAAAAAGATGGGTAATTTAGAACATTTCCTGTATGCTAAGACCCATTAACACAATTATCTCCCCTTCAGGGCTGCTCACAGACAATTTAAGATAAAACACAACTCCAAATCACTTTGTCCCTGGGAGGTTTTCCATATAAAACTTGTTTGAGCCTCCTAGTCAAAAGGCAACCGCCTAGTGAGAGTTTATGAGAACTCTTCCTGTCAAGAAAGGCTACTGAGGAATTACCAAGAAGTCTGTGCCTTCTGTTAGTCACACAGTGCTCAGAACTTCCTGAGTCATCGTTCTGGTTCTCTGCTATCACTAACAAATACAAAATATCATCTTTTTCATGAAATGAAACTCGCTCCATTCCTCCCTTCCTACATCTAACAAAAACTTGTTCTTGATCTCTACTCCTTTAATGATTAAAATCCTTAACTGTGGAATTTATTCACAGTGCTTTAATTTTCTGGTTCCTTTCCTTTTCTGGCACTTCTGAAGAGCTCTTCTCCTTTATCTTATGCTTAAGGGAATTGTACCTTAACACTCTTCTTTTCCTCTGAGCCTTCAGTAAGCAGGAAAGCTTCATGTCCATCTGTCCCTTCTACACGCAGGAAACAATTAGTGGTGTGTCCAATTCCTGAAGGAAGGACTTTGTCCCACAGCATGGCATTTATCACAGTGCTTTTCCCATTGCTTGTCCTGTAGTCAGATTAAAGAATGATATAGCTAGGCTTCCGAGATTCAGGTATACTCATTTTGATATTACAGAAAGCAAGTTCTCTAAACCCAAGCAGTATCAGAAACACTAACAATTTAGGTGCCATAGGCAATGTATAAAAAGACTTTTTTATTTTCTTACTTTAAGAATTCTTCCAAATTGAAGAATTATGTGCTACATTTGTTTCCAATTTACAAGAGGACTAGTACCAGGGACACACACATTACAAGCCAAAGCTGGAGCACTAGTGTTTCTATAAATATTTTTTACTGGCTACAGTCCTAAAGATGCCAGTTGCTTTACCGAGTGGGGAGCGGAGGCAACATAAGCACGTGACTCACCTTCCAAAAAAAGCAACTTTCATGTGTCGTCTTGCCAACACTTCACTAATGCCACTGACTTTTGACAGATAGCCTTTGACTTCCAGTACCTGCTCTTCTGTGGTGACAGGATCAAGCTCTATATTCTTGTGTGTTTCTAAAAATCAAAATACATCATGTCTCTGAATTCCAGAATTCATCTGTCTCAGCATTGGGTGAAACACCTCTTCATGATGTAGTACACATAAATGTTTATCTGTGTCCCAAAGACCGTGTGGGTAATCTTGACACATGCAATTACACCCTGAGGCAATTCTCATCAGCATTGATCAGCTGGTCTCTTCTGTGTATCTAATAACCATTCCCATCCTTAGGACTGCCTTAAACAGAACACAGCCAACGCTTCAAACACTCCAACACCCTTAAAAACAAATCTTCTGTCTACGTCCTAAGCTGTTAAAGCCAATTATTGGCATATGCTACGTGTCACTAGCAATGACATGTCTAGGCAAGAATACTGAAAGAATTATAGGCAAAAATCCTAAAGGGTCTTATATAGTTTATGAAAAAACTCCCAAACAACATAAAAACCAAGCATAGCTCACTAACTAGCTGTTTCCTAACATGTTTGAACTTGTCAGCTTTAAAATATGAACCCTGAACTCCACCCATATTCAATAAAATAGTTTTCTGTTCTTCTTATAAATATTTATATATAAATAGACACACATGTATAAATAAGCATAGGTCTAGCAGTGCCATTTAATCGAATGAGGGGGTTTTGGTGCGTGTTTGGGGGAATTATATGTGGGCGAAGCACTGTTACACACTTGTAGTCCAAGAATTCAGCTTACCTTCCAGGAACGAGGAGCTCTCATTGATGTATGCAGCCAACTGTTCAAAGATACCATTGATTTTCTTCTTTGCAGTGACAAAATGTTTAAGCGGAGAAGCATTTACCTCAGCCATGTGTCTTTTATCCTTCTTCACTGCAACTATTGACTTGGAACGAGTAAACAACAGGGACATTGCGCTACAGGGAAAAATCCAGTAAATAAGGTGGCTCACCAAGTGCCAACAGCTATCCAACTAAGCATCCTACCAAGAACTAGATAAATATGCATTTTAAAAACAACCTTCTTTCTTTCACAAAGAAAGTGTTCCACTTTATACAATTGGAAATTTCTCCTATATCAGAAATAAAGAAAAAAAAAAATCTTTCCTTCTCCCTTCCAATAAACAGGCCCCCAGTGATCACTTCTCTCCTTCCTCCGCTTACTTTCAGGATGAGTTACGTTTTCACAAGTCAGGCATGGTCAGCTCGAGTCCCTCTTGAACACGAACGACTGCAGTTTTCCTGCCTTCTCCCTCGCCTTCGTCAGACTCCGTCCCGCAGCTCTTCCAGAAACGCCAAGTCCAGCCTGTCCCCGTCCCTGCGGCAGAGGGACCGGGGGATGAGGGACACAGGCTGCCGAGCTCCCTGATCGGCCAGGCTCTGCTCCCCCGCCATCCCAGTGCCTGGGGGATGCACCGGGCAGACGCTCCGGGCGGCCGCCGTCGCCTTCTCCTCAGACCTCAGGGTGCCCCGTTCCTCAGGCGGGACGAGGAACGCCCGGCGCGCGACAGGCGAAGGGCGGGAAGGGCCCCTCTCCCGCCCCCACACGGCGG